AAACAACTCAAAACCAGAATTCAGAAAAAACTCGACTCGAAATGACTTGTACTATGGACCAAGTTCAAGATGTACATGTACGCTTGAAGTAAAAGAAATGTTAATGGTTTTGTTACCCTATTATAACACGACGGATCAGTCATTCCAAGAGATAACATTCACCGGTCCAAATAATATTTCTTCAACTATACAATTATGGGTATGCTTGACAGGCTGATTGATGAGCGCACTAAAGTTGCAATCCACTACACGGAGATGCGGCTATCCAACTAGATTTGTCCCTTAATCGCTTTTTGTAGTATTAACCCATGGTAGTACGAGTCTCCCTAAAAGGTTTGAGCCATAAACCACCATGCATGTCGGGCTTAATAACTTGCTTTGTTCAGACAACTACGGGAAGAAATGAGATGGTCCTTCGTGTAACCACGAATGATCGGCGTACTTTTTATGTATCGATGGGTCCTAAGTATAAGGGCCAAACTAACAATTTTATAATGAAATGAAACAATTCCCACAAAAAAGTGAAAATGATCAAATTGTTAGTTTGGCCCTTATACTTAGGACCCATCGATATTAAGTGTGCGGCCACATTGCCCGCTCAAATCGAGTGTCCGGCGGTGCGATGCGTGCGGCGATCCTGTCAAACAAATGCATTCGCGTAGTGGTGCCCATAGTGACGGCAGTAGCGATCTTGTTTGCGTCGAGACGCGTCGAGCGAAGCGACGCAGGCGAGTTCAAACTAGTTTGTGTTTTGCAGCGACGATACGAGCGTGCGCTTTATGTCTGTCGAGGATATAAGTATCTAATAAGTTTTTGAGGTGGGTAACAATTTAACAACTACGTAAAACACTTTTCGAGTGTTTTTAACAATATCCGAGGATATAAAAGGATGGATGGGTAAATAATATACATATTTTTTTGTCATTGTTTGTGTTGTAAGATTGTTAATGTTGACTCATAGTAATATTTTAGCCATACATTTCCTTTTAAATACATATCAATTATGTCATACGACGAAACCTTGATAAAAACGTGACCGGCTTACACAGACGCTGAGCGTACACTGTGGCCACTCGAGGGGACGCCTCTTTCTCCACTCGTCACCCCGTTGGTCGCCGAACGCTTTTTCATTGGCCGCACACTTACTTATCATAGTATGTAATAAGACATAAGCCTCCCTTTGAGCACGCCTGCACTCCCGGTCCTGTGCCGCCCGCATCTAGCCGCTGTCGGCCACCTATCTAAGATCGTCCGTCCATCTTACTTCAGGGCGCCCTACACTACGTTTTCCTAGACTTGGTCGCCACTGTAGAACAAATCTGCTCCATCGATCATCAGCCCTCCTACAGATATTTCCGGTCCACTGCTACTAAAGCATACTGATTTTGCGCGCTATGGAACACTTTGTTAGGAATCCGGTCCATCAGAGAAACCCAAGTATAGCTCGCTCCTTCCAGTATGTAATCTAATAAGTAACAAATAAAACTGAGAAACGGATAAATTTCATTGTTCACAGAGGACGCTCGATTGCCAACGACACATCGGTGCAGACGCTATTTATGAACATCACCGCCATGCACTCGCGGCTGCTGCGGTACATACAGCAACAAGATGACAAGAGGGTTTATCTAGAGAGTTTGCAGGTATTGCAATAAATATTTATCTTTTACATTATGGATAATTTCCTGTAATATTTGAATAGGGCATTTGTATAGTTAAAACAAGTCTGTTATTTTCACGATACGACGAATATAAGAGGAATGTCATCTATTTTATTTACGCGACTTTAAAAAGTTCGATCGATAAGTACAAATTAAAAAATGCGACCAAAAGTTTGTCCACTTATAACAGAGGCGTTATTATAAATTGCATTATTTTTAAAAGTTATCGCTATTTAAAATTTAATATTATGAAAAAATATTTTTACTTGCTTAAATTATATTCTTATATAATTTTATTAACAGGATAAAGTAAATCAAGTGCGCGATAGCCGCGCGGCTTTAGACACACTACGCGCAGAACATACGGCGCGCTTAGCTGCGCAGGCGGAAGCGGCCGAACGACAACGGCAGATGCAAATGGCCGCCAAGCTGCAGGCCATGCGGAAGAAGAAACATGAGTATCTGCAATATCAGAGACAACTTGCTTTACAAAGAGTACAGGTATATATTCAGCTACTTTTTACCTTTGTCCTTATATTCGTTACTTCTATTTTCATCTCTGTTTAACAAATGTGAAAAATTAGAATGAATGAATGAATGAAATATTCTTTATTGCACATAAAATTACAGTTAAAATACAATAAAGTAACTTAGGAATAAAGATAGTAAAATAATGTGCAACAGGCGTCCTTATTGCTATGTAGCAATTTCTTCCAAGCAACCTTAGGATAGAAATTTGGGATATGCAAAAGAGGTGCAACCAAAGAATATCATTGTAAGTACACTACACAATAATTATTAATAAACTCAAGTACGTAGGTAGAAATATCCATACAAATATTATTAATACATAACAATACATAAATAATTATATTAAATGCTTATATACTTTAAAAGGAAAAAGAAAAATGAAATAATAAGTATAGAAAATAAATGAAAGGATAGTGGAGATAAAGACAAAACTTAGGAGTTGAGGAAGTGATCCTTGACACGTCGTTTGAAGGAATCAAGAGAAGGGGAACCTTGAATCGATTCAGGGAGAGAATTCCACAGCCTGATCGCAGAAACGGTAAAAGAGTTGGAATAAAAATTAGAGGTATGGGAGGCATGTTTAGTAAGACAGTATCATAGGAGCGAAGGGGGCGGCAGAGTGTAGAAGAGTGCAAAGTAAAGCGATCTTTGAGATAAGAAGGCGTAAAGGGACAGAATAGAATTGAGTAAAGAAGGGAAAGAGTATGAAGATCTATACGCGGGGGGATGGGTAGCCATTTAAGTTGTGCACGAAACTGGGAAACATGGTCAAATTTACGAAGTCCGAAAATGAATCTCACACACATATTTTGGAGCCGTTCCAATTTATTGAGCAGGGTGACTGACAAATCCGGGTAGCAAACATCGGCGTAGTCCAGTATCGGATGGAGAATGCTCTGGGCCAAAGTAATTTTAGTTTTAGGGGGTAAAAAGTTTTTAAGCCTTCTCAGGGAAAAATGCGCACCAAACACCTTCCTGCTAACCTCAGCAACGTGCGGCTTCCAAGTTAGACTGTTATCAAAAATTACCCCCAAATTCCTAACTATGTCCACAAAAGGAATTCCGACACCATCAAAAACTACATGGGGTAAGGAATCTCGGTCTATATGAGAAGTGAACCAAGTGCTATCTATAATTAGATTAGATATGCGACCAGCTATAATTAGATGGAATCGCTGTTCAATTTGGCGTTACTTAATTCACATAATTATGATTTTTCATGTGTTTCATATAAAAAATTAAGTAAAGCTTAATTTTATGTTCCTCAAATACTTATTTGTTAAGCGTCTAATTTTAAATTTCCAGGAACAAGAAAGAGAAATGCAGATGAGACAGGAACAACAAAAGCATCAATACATGATGTCAGCAAACAGCTACTACATGCCTGGTGTTTCTATGCACCAGTATCAGCCTGGCTATTCCACGCAGCCGATGTATGCCAATCCACAATTCCATCCCCAGATGATGCCTCAATCTACCACCGACGCCTCTATGTCACTACCAGGCCAACCGCAAATGTCACAAGCAAGTATCCTCAACTCAATGGGGGGTATCTCTCAATCTATGCCTCAGCTTCCTAACACCTATGCGATGACGACCTCCGGCATGACCGTCAGCCAAACGCCCATGACACAAGCTGCAATGAACCAACCCAATATGCGACCAGCTATGAGCCAACAGTTGCCACTGCAGCAACAAATGATGTTGCAGCAGATGCACCAGATGAGAATGTCTGGCCAGCCTGGCTTGCATCAGATGATGCCGCAAAATATGACGAATGGTCCCCCTGGGCAAAGTAATATTCCCCAGCAAAACGGCCAAAACCAACAATTGCAGAAACAAAACATGCCAAATCAGCCTCAACAGCCTAATATCATGATGCCACCCATGACATCACAACAACAAAGCATTGGTCAATCTATAATGATAGCCACCAACCCAATGCTAGGTATGCAAATGCAGAACATGAGATTGCCCATGATCCATGGAAATCAACCAAATCCTAACCAGCAAATCCCTGTTTTTCCTGGAGGTATGCAGAACCAACAAAATGCTCAACAACCGGGTTCCCAAATTCCAAACATGCAACAGCCCTCTCAGGTAGCCTTACCTTCGCAGCAAATGCAGATACCTGGTCAACCACAGGGTATGCCTATGCCAAACAATATTTCTCAAGGCCCACAAGGGCCTCAACCACAGGGACAACCTATGCAACCTATGCAGCATTCTCAAGTGCAATTAGTTCAAGGACAACCTAATCTGCAGGGTCACCCTCAGAACCAACCTATTTTAATGCAAGGACAACAAATGCAACCAGGCCAAAATATGCCGCAACAGATGTTAAATCAACCACAAATGCAAGGACAGTTGCCGCCGGGGCACCAGACACAGTTGGTCTCAAACCAACATGTCCCACCACAGATGACGATGGGACAAATTGCGCAGTCTATACCTCAGGGCCCACAGATGCAAGGTCAGATGCCACCTCAACAGCAAATGCCACCTCAGCAGCAAATGCCACCTCAACAGCAAATACCTCCTCAGCGGCAAATACCTCCTCAACAGCAAATACCTCCTCAGCAGCAAATGCCGCCGGGCCAACAAGTTCCTCACAATATACCAGGGCAGCCAATGAAAGTACAGTCGCAGAATTTTGGGAACAACCCCCCGTCCCAAGGGGCGGTAAATCCTAATCAACCGCAGGGACAGCAACCTCAGACGCCTGTTAAATCTGAACATAACAATAACACGGCAGAACTAATATCCTTCGATTGAGGTCATGCTAGTCTGACCATAGAGTTGAAATATTCGTAATGACTGGTAGCGCCTGCTCCGTTGTACGTAACTTAAACGATTGTATGCAATAATTTGTCCTTAGAGTTTAGTGATGATGATTCATAAGAGTTTTAAAACCAAAATGTTAATGTTATAAAATAATGGTTTTGATAATAATATTAATAATGTTTCAAGCTTTTTGAACAAATATTTATGTAGTCAAGCAATTTACAGCACTGCTGGCTTGATGGTAAATTAATGGAAGATAGGAGTGTCTGTCAGGATGGCTGGACCAAACGAGATATACAAGTCAAACTGTGCTCACTATTTACTACCTATTTTGTACTATTTAGTACATTTATTGACATATTTTCTACCTTAGCGCTAACGGAAATATTAAAGAAATAAAGTGGCTAGCCATTCTGACGTCAGGTTGGCTAACCACTACGTTTTTCATGGTTCTAGCACTGTAATTTACTTTTTTTTATATAACTATTTACTACCTAATTTCTACCGAAACATACTTTTTTTTCACTATTTTAGGATGCTTCTATAAAAAATTATTTAAAAACAATAAAACACCTTTGCAAAATTTATCTTCTTCTAAAAAGACAGTTTATCTTCTCCATGTAATTGCTAATAATACTTTTGCCGGCGCTTGAAATTTGCCAACAATGGCCTCTGGGTTATCTTGGCAAGAAATATTTTGTAACAATTATTATATTAATTACTAATTGAATTCACTATTACAAATGTAAATTCCCTTTGTAGGTATTAAGGGAATGCAAACGAATTATTATCAGGTATTTAATAATGTCAGAATGGCTGGCGGCTTTATTTCCTTAATATTTCCGTTAGCGCTAAGGTAGAAAATATGTTAATAAAGGTACTAAATAGTAGAAAATAGGTAGTAAATAATGAGCACAGTTTGATTTGTATATATCGTTTGGTCCAGCCATCCTGACGGACACGGATAGGATGATGTGTTAAAATTCAGTCAAATTCTTTTTCTGTTTTAATATATAACATTCTATAGTATTTAATGATAAATTAGATAAGTTGAGTCGAAGATTTAGCACTATTCCATAATACATCACCACGTCATGTGCCTATGTTGAAGCAAATATTTACTTGAGTAGGTTTTAATTTTTGAAAATAATTAAATATGGCCTTGTAATGTATGTAAATGTGCATAAATGTAAAAATGCTTGTCATTCGTAGATAATTTAGAGGATATGATACATTATATAAAATAGAAGGGATAGGAATTCATTATTTTGTTTATTTTTCATTGCTAAATAATTCGTTTTGTTACATTTACAATAAGTTTCTATTTTACGATGTATAATACCAATATTAAAAGTGAAAAATTCCTTCGGCTTTCATTGTTTTATAAATGGTGTAGTATGGGGAAATCCCAAGAGATCGTTTTACTGTATGGGACATTAGTATGGGACGAAAAAAATCGGAACAGCAGAATTTGATCTAATTTCAAAAAATGTTTTTTAATGCAAAATGAATAAAACTGACTAATTTTTTGAATGCTATTAGCATCGGTTTCTTATAAGATGGACTTCATTGTGTCGGAAGAAAAGAATCAGTACGGCAGAAGTTGGTCAAATTTAATAATATATTATTCATTTTGTATGACTTTTTTTATTAAATTTGACCAACTTTTGCCAAATTGGAGCAATTTTGGAGCAAAGTTTTAAAAAATTCGTTCAAAATGAATAACATTTTATTAAATTTGACCCACTTATGCTGTCCCGATTATTTTCTTCCAATACAATAAAATCATTATTATAATCAGCATTAAAAAATTGAAAATTTTATTCATTATGTATGAAAAATAATTTTATTAAATTGGATGAACTTCTGCTGTCCCGATTTTTTTCATCCTATATAATGAAATCGTCCTTATAAGAAGCCGACTGTAACATCATTTAAAAAAATTGTAAATTTTAATAATTTTGTATGATTTTTTCGTCCCCATAGTATGATATGATCCTTACATAAAACTGAGTTGATCAGTACAAAAAAGTTTGAACAATTTTATAGACTCGTATGGCCAATTCACGTTTCACCAAAAAAATGACTACGCCAAAATTTCAAAAAAAAAGGCTTGCTAGGTTGCTTCCTTGGTGAAACTATCTTAGTTTACTTGTATCTTCTATGGTTACGGATTTCCCTATAGGCTCAATTTACATTGTGGCGGAACGGAATGGAAGCGTCAATTTCGCCTCGTTGCGCAACAAGGCGCATGCTCGAGCATTCCAGCGGCCGCGCCTTAGTGTGGGAATACACGTTCGATTTTTCTATCCGATAGTCGGACCCGATAGTCTGATTCGACTATCGGACGGCGTTCGTACTATATATTTGTATCAATGCACGAGTCGGAAATAGTGTCCGATTTTATTGCCGGCCCGATTGTCTGAAGGCGCGCTCTCGATACTTTTTCGGGGAGACGATTAATACACGTCCGATTCTTACCTCTTGTTTTTTTTTAATTATTGCTGGCCATGGAAACAAAGTTCTTCAGCCGGAAACATAAACGTTTATATTTCTGTAAATATGGCCACGACAAAGAGGATAGGCAATTTGAGGCGGCGTGCTTGGATTGACTCGGGATTCCTTAGAACGGGCCGATACGGGTATTTTAGTTCGAGATTCGTATAATTTCGCGTTTTAATCTTCGATTAAGGCACAATAGCACTATCCTATTCCACTTTAAACTAGATTTCACAAAATAATTGAAAGTTAAAATAAAAACGACACTTTTCCCTCCAAAAGGCCCAAAGCGAATCGATTCTTAGTATTCTTACCTCCGATATGCAGCATTGCCAATGCTAATTATTCAAAATCCCCAAAAATCACGGTTATATATTTGGGGAGAGCAAAAGTCATGTTTCCCACATATATGTACGTATATGTAATATTTATTCATTCTCAGTATTTATTATATTATTATTGTTACGCTTAAAAATATTCAAATAATTAAGAAAGTCAAAATGTGCTCATCTATACATATACGTTACGCTATAATTAGAAATAAACTCAACAAGTCTTAATATTTAAGCTTGACGAGTGACAAGTCGGCTTTGTTTAGCAACAGCTGATTTCTTTTTTCATACAGAGAACCGGCCAACGCATGAAGAAGGGTCGCGCGCTCAACACGCACCGACTGATCATCATCCTATTTAAGAGCCAGACTTGTCGGTGACTAATAATAGTAGTAATTTTACAATTCAAGACAAAGAGATTCAGATCCTACCGGATAATTTTATACATATAAAGCGGTTTTGTTTAATTCTTTAAAAATGTTGCTATATAAGCGGGGCATGTACGACGTTGAAAATAATATCAATACGTTCGTAAAAAAACAAATAAATAGTGTTTTTATCAATGTAACACAAATATGGTAAAACGGTAGAATGCGAGGGCATTATCCCCACATAGCATAATCTTCACAAAATCCCCAAGCAAGTTGTTGAGTTGAAATTCCCTGCATGTGGGGAATTCCCCCTAAATTGGCAACCTGCAGATAGTTCAGCAGCTCGATTTTGTTTGCCTCTCCCGATCCGAAACTGCGTTTTCTCCGAATCGAAGCGCATAAATTCCCATTCACACTTGGCAGATCGGAAACTTGACATTTCTAACCGGAACAATCGTTGATTTAACTCGCAAATTAGAAAGATATAGTAGGAATCAAGTTCAAAAATGATTTCGAGACTACCCGATCGGATCGATACAGATTCTGAACGCAGAAAAAGTGTGACGAAAGAATCGGACGTGTCGATACACGTTTACTCAATAGTGAATCAATGAACTTTGTGCCTGATGGTCGTTCGTTCCATTAAATTGTTCCATTTAACAAAAACAATGGCTATCCAACATTGACTTATGCTATCCAATCTTATTCTTGTCATACAATACATACTCATAGATCAGTGGTTGACTCGATCCTCGTCAGAATATTTGAATAATGTGTGTATGTGTGACAAACAGTGATGTTGGAAAGAAAATATTTAAAACTTTCAACAACCACACTGAGTAAGCGAACATGTTGAACTACGAGGAGATTCAGAATTGGTATATTATGGTTTAACACAAACCAAACAGTTTTTCGATACCTTCTATATGGCTTCGTAGCCAAGCCTTATTCCATCCTCCAATTCTAGCTATTATAGTATTATTATCTGAACATAAACTATATCTGTCCACACGGCGAATTGCACTTGCATAGTGTAAAACCGCATTGCTTAACTGCGTATTGCTGTTTAGTAATTTATTCAAAATAGGGTGTTTCATCTCGTAATACCTAATAGACTTTGGACTTAACTGGTGAACATCGGACTGCAGCTGCAGAAAGAAACAAAATTATACGTAACGTACTACTTTTTCTCGGAACGTGTGTGTGTAAGTATTTAATACTTAAATTACAAACAAATAGAGGTGGGCGTTTAAACGAAAAGCACTAAAAAAAGTCAGCTTTTTGAAATAAGCGCATAAGCACACTTTTCATTTTTAGCGTAAGCGTTGGTCACTGGTCAGTTCTATAGGTACTCAACAATTTCATTTTTTAGCACTTTGCCACCACTTTACCACCACTTTACCACTTGCCTAAGTTTCAAGTAACGCCATCTATGTTTTCTAAACAAATTAATTCAACATAACGTTGCAAGCTTTTTTGAACTTAAAATCTATGCGCTTAAACGTTTTTCTAAACGACTTTTTTGGCGTCAAACTAAAAAGCGTGAAAAGCGCTTTTATAAGCACGCTTTTTAAACGTACGTTTTCAGGACATTGGCGAAATCGCCATTTTTTTGTATAATTTTTATACTAATATTAAACTGCCGTACATAGTTATTTTTACTTGACATTGGCAAAATCATTGATTATTTCGATGGGGCCATAACATTTAAAAGAAGAGGAACAACGTTAAAAAAAAGCAGTTTTCCATTTCAACAGTTAACAACCACAAAATTTAACAACTTTTGTTTTTGAACGCTTTTAAACGCCAATGAACATAATTAATATTAACATTATAATGTTATGTTATTAATAAAAATATAACTATATAGATTTTAAGACTTTCGTGGTTATTCACTAAATGATTATCACTAGTAACAGGTTTCTTACCACGGTATAACTTCTTTTTATTTTCCCGATATTTCGGAACGGTTGCACGCTCCATG